ACTAGGCTTTTGTTTCAAGTGAGGAGGTCGAGGAAGAAGCTGACCATCTTGGAAATTTGCCGTCTTTATTACCTAGCCATGGCCCCTTTATCTGTTTGTCTACCAGGGAGTCTGTTGTCTTAGGGTTTCTGTTGTTGTGTTCTGAAGAGACACGATGACCATGGCAACTCTTACAATGGAAAACATTTAATTGAGTGGCTTACTCGTCAGAGGTTTAGTCGTTATCATCATGACAGGACATGGCAGCATGCAACCAAACACGGTGCTGGAGAAGGAGCTGAGAGTTTTACGTCTTGATCTGCAGGCAACAGGAAGTGTTCTGAGACATTGGTCATGGCTTTAGCATATATGAGACCTCAAAGTCCATCCCCACAGTGACACACTTTCTCCAACAAGGCTATACCTATTTCAACAAGGCCACACCTTCTAATAGTGCCACTCCCTTTGAGTTTATGGGGGTTAATCACACTCACACTACCACATCTTCTAACTCCTGGTCTCTCATTCCCCCTCTCAGAGAGCGCCCTCACTGCTGTTTGGGGACAACAACCACTCTTGCTGCTTCATGCTGACAAAGGGTCTGTGGAGGGGGACAGCAGTCAGAGTGCCTCAGCAGGGTCTCTCTAAGGGAGCATGAGAAAACCCGATTAATGGCAATGGTCCAGAACATTTGACAGCCATTTGGTGATGCTGTGTATCTTTGGAGCTTGTCATATAAGGGAAGTAGCATCTATAATATATAAACGTGTACTGTAATTCCTACTGAGAGTACGGTTAGAAAAATAGCAGGGGCAGTTTTGCCCTTGTTAGAGGAAGAGAACAGGCAAGAAAATGATCCAAATACTTTTCAGTAGGTTGTGTCATAGGTATCGATGAGATTGATGATCTCTCTAACACCACTGTCTACCATGAGATAGACACTGTTGGAGGATGCTGTTTGTCTGGTTCAAGTATTCAAGGAGCCTTTCATCAGCCATTGTAAGCTAAGAAGTTGAACACTGCCTTCCTTTTACTGTAACCTCGTGGGGAACATTAAGAGACGAGGTTAATGAGGAAAATTTGATGTCATGGTTGGCCTAAGTTTTATTTAATAAGGTGAGGCATAATTTTGTAGCTGGCTGGTCTGTGTATTAGAAAACTTTTTCCAAAATCCTATAGAGGCCTAGTGGTAGGCCTCTGCCCCTGTATCAGCTGTTAACCGCCAGCGGAAGTGCACGGTATGGGCCAAACGTGAGTTGAAAGTCACAACCAGTCATCAGCATCTGAAGTTTGACACAGTATATCTGGCCACTTCCTTTAATCAGGGGACATGATTGGTTAGGATACAGGACATCATATTATAGCTCTTTCAGAAACAGTATCATCTGGAAGCAAATTATTAGTGGGAAATAGTTGTCCAAATAGCATCTCATGGTTAAGTATAACGTCTGAGGACTGTCAAAGAGAGACATATTGATTGTATTATTCCTGGTTATACTTTCCTTTTGAGTGTTTAAGATCATGTAGGTGGCCAAAATTAATGACTTTTTGCTGTTAAGGCCAGCTGAAGGTCTGGTCCTCCTCAGTGGTTACTTGAACTTGGGCAGAGCCTCTGATTCGTAGCCTGTCTTGTCAGTTTGTCCATCTGTGTGAGGATAAGCCAAAGGTCTTGCTTTACCACTGTTTCATTGGAAGTGTATAAGATTTTTTTTCCTCTTTGTTGACTCTTCTTTTCCACACTGGACACTGGTTAGAGTCCACTGAGTGGCATTTCTATGGCCTTCCTAAACAAGAACAGGTGACTTCCCACAGTTGCAGGACAGTTAGAGGTGCCTCATAGTTCCTGGGACTTTGTTGACATTGGAGGACAAGGGGAAAATAGTCTTCCCTTTAATTCCTCTGACTACACCAGTGTTGGCCTCCAAATACGGTTCTTGAACATCCAGAGGGTCAGTTGCAACTGTTTATTATTTTTAATTAGTCTGTAATGTTTAGGTGAACTGTGAGCAAAAATTAAGCACTTTTAAAATAAACTTGATTAGAACATCTAAGTGTATTGTGTACCTAAGTCTCGTAGACTAGAGTCTGTGAATGTTTCCTATAGTTTTTTTAGCAAGGTCTAGACCAGTGGTTCTCACAACACTACAGCCCTTTAATACAGTTCCTCATGTTGTGACCCCAAACCACAAAATTATTTTTGTTGCTACTTCATAACTAATTTTGCTGCCATTATGAGTTGTAATATAAATATATGTGCTTGACCTCCAAGGGGTTAAGACTCACAGGTTGAGAACCACGGATCTAGGTGGTACTGCAGGTAAAAGAAAAGCTGGACATAGGGAATTTTAGAGGACTTTTTCTCTTGTTGACAGAATAACTAACTGAAGAAGGGTATTTAAGTGTTCCCCCCATGGGGCACTTTTTATTATTTTCTAGAGGATATTTAGGCCATGCACGGATCAGGAAAAAGACTAAGGTTCTCCTCCTAAGCACTTGACTGTCTGGCTCGCTCAAGTTGTTCAATAGGCAAACTAGTGGGGAACTTGAAGCAGTCTTGGAAGATTTCATCCCCATCTGTAAAGTGAAAAAAGATTGGAAGAGACTGATGGAGGTTTGCCTAATCTTCCTCCAGTCTTAACCCTCCAGTCATCCAGAGAGGACGACTCAGCCAATCAAAGAGGTGGTCAGCAGGGCCCAAACACCCTGAGACTGGTTCCAGTATGGGATTCATGCTTCCCACGCCTTCAGTTCCAGTTCCCACCAGTTATTACTTCACAGGTACCATTATTGAGGGGCAGACTCTAGCTCCCTCCAAGCCTCCTGTAGAACAGACTGAGGTGAAGAACACGTTAGTTGAATTCCACCTGAGCCTTAACAGAAGGTCTGATATAGGGTCTGGTGGGATGACGCAGGCAGTGGGCTTGCCCCACAAGCTTGATCACCACATTTGGATACTCAGAACCTGCATAAAAGCTGGATGCAGAGCTGGGTGATGGTATGCACCTCGTGGGAGGCAGAAACAGGTGGATCTCTTAAGTTTGAGCTTGACCTACAGAGTGAGTTCCAGGATAACTAGAACTACACAGAGAAACCCTGTCTTCAACATCCCCCCACCAAAAAAGAAAAAAAAAAAGCTAGATGCAGTGGAACAAGCTTCTATTTTCAGTGCCCACTATGGGAGGTAAAAACAGAAGAACCTCAAGTTTGTGGGTGGCGAGCTTCGCTTAGCAGCAGCAAAGGAACTACCTAAGGTAGAAGGTAATGGTAGACATATGGATGTTGTCTTCTGACTACTGCAGGTGTACTGTTGCACATGCCCACGTGTATACATGAAATGTACACCCATGTGTCACTCACAAAATGAAATTTGAAAAAAGAAAAGATTGGCTGACATCAGGAAAACAAATGATAACATGCTGGCCAAGGAGGAGTAGAAGCAGGAACCCTTACACTAGCTACATTGCTGGTAGAAATGTAACTAGTGTAGCTACAGTGGAAATCAGTATGGAGAGTCCCCCTTAGACTGAAAACTACCATATGATCCAGCTATACCATTGCCTGGGTATAGACCCCGTTTTAGAGTTTTTATTACTGTGAAGAGACACCATGATTGTGGCAACTCTTACAAAGAAAGCATTTAATTTGGGTGGCTCGCTTATAGTTCAGAGGTCCGGTTCATTATCATTATGGCAGGGAGCATGGCGGTGTGCAGGCAGATATACTGGAGTAGTAGCTGGGAGTCTTACATCTTGCAGGCAACAGGAAGTCGACTTAGATACTGGGTGGTATCCTGAGCATAGGAAACCTCAAAGCCCACCCCAGCAATGAAACACTTCCTCCAACAAAGCCACAAGTCCTCATAGTACCTAGGAGGTTATGGGGGCCAATTTCTTTCAAACTACTACATACACAAAGGAGTCGAAGTATGTTGTAGTATTGTTCACAGTAGCCAAGATAGGAAACCAGCTTAGATTCCCATCAACAGGTAAATAGATTAAAAAAAATAAGTATAATTTGGCCTGATGTCTTAATCTTCTAATACCAGCTACTAAGGAGGCTGAGGTCACAAGTTTAAGCTTTGCTTGTGTTCCAGAATGAGTGGGGGTGGTGTAGGTATCAGCAAAGTGTAGTGCTATGCATATATGAAAATGTGATGAAACCTAAGTAAAGAGTGAAGATGATCTCAATCCATAACTCCTGAGCACGTAGATATATTCTAAAAGATAAAAATAGAAGAAAAGAGTCTGGGCAGATTCTAAGATGGTATGGTAAGACTCAAGTGGCTTAATTTAGAGTGAGTGCCATAGGAATTAAAAGAATGTGTATCTGAAGTGTGATGATGGAAGTCAAATGGGATAAGTTCTGGATGTGGGTAGCAATTGCTCCTTAGGTGGAGTCCCAGTGTTTTATTTAGTGGTGCTAACAGTGGAGTCTAGGGTTGTGTACGTGCTTGCAAGTGTTCTGCCACTGAGCCATACCCCAACTTGCATGCTCCTTTATTTTTTAATAAGTTTTATTTATTATTGTTGTATTTGTATGTATGGTGTTTGTATGAGGGTACATATATGCTTCCCATAATGCACTCATGGAGTTTGCTGGAGTTGGTTCTCTCTTTCCACCGTGGTTTCTGAGGATTGATGCTAAGTTGTCAGGCTTTTCTCCATGGAGCTGGAGGTTATGGTGTTTATATTTCTTAGTATGTTTATGTATTTGTTTTTAGTGCTGATGGATCTTATTTTAGTGCAAAAGTTAATGTGTATTTTGAGATTCTTTTTCCCCCTTTGGTAATGGAAGTCAAATTCAGGGTTTTGTACATATAAGTATATTTTGGCCTATTTTATGAAATTAGTATAATTTACTTTGTGCATTGCTTATCTATACCTAAAAATTTGAGTTTCAGTGTTTAGTTTCAACTTTTGCCCAGAAAATGTTAGGCATTTTTTCTTTTTAAGTGTATAGAATGAAGTTATTCAGTGTGTTCAAAATTTGAAAGTTACTTTGTAAGTAGAAACTGTTGTAACGGTGGGAATCTTTATGCTTAATACCATAGATGGCACCTATGAAAAGGTTATAGGACCATGGCAGCAGATGACGACAATGGAGATGGAACAGGTTTATTCGATGTCTGTCCTGGTAAGAACTCTTGGTTGTCTTTCTGAATTTACTTACTCTTTGTTTCTTTCTAAATTTTGGTACTGAGAGTTTAGAACCAGGACCTTTCAAATGCTAGGTACGTACTCTGTCACAGTAGTAGCCCTAACCTCAACTTGATCTCAGTTATGAAATCATTTACTTATTCTTAGGTAAAGTGGACCTCAGCTTTTTCTCCCTCTATATAAGTAAATTAACATAGCAAAATACTAGGGACATAGAGAGTACTTAGTAAATGTGAACTTTTCTCTTTGTTTTTTGTTGTTTTGTTTTCGTAGTGCTGAAAAGCAAGCACAGGGCTATATTCTGTTCCTTAGCTATATCCACTCCCTTTGTGTATAATACAGAGGCAGGGAGATCTCACTGTGCATTGAGTTTGGACCCGGACTATAGGCATAAATCATTGCACCTGGCTGACTTTGACTTTTCTCTTTCTCTTCTTTCCTTCCTCCCTACTCCCTCCCTCCCTGCCTCTTTCCTTTCTTTCTTTTTAAGATATTTCAAATTTATTTTTAATTTGTAAGTGTTTTGCCTGCATATATGTATATGCATCATGTGCATGCTTGGTGACCAAGGAGACTAGAGGGTGTTGAATCCCCTGGAACTGGAGTTTCAGATGGTTGTGATCCACCATGTGGGTGTTGTGAACTAGCCCTAGATCTTCTGCATAGCGCAAGCCCTCTTAACCACTGAGCCATCTCTCCAGCCCTTGGTTGATATTTCTTATTTATGCTTTTAAGTCTCTATATGTAATCAAGGCAACAATTTTGCTGATGTGAATGGTCATAATATCTATTGTCATATCCAAAATAGATAGTTGTTACTTTTGAAGTAATTTTGTTTTTTTTTCCCTTTTTTTAATTGATTTTTTTAATTGAGTTTTACATTTTCTCTGCTCCCCTCCCCCCTTCAACTCTCCCCAAAGGTCTCCATGTTCCCAATTTACTCAAGAGATCTTGTCTTTTTCTACTTTCTACTTCCCATGTAGATTAGATCTATGTAAGTCTCTCCTAGTTTCTCCATTGTTGTCTTAAGTTCTAAGGGATTGTGGTTTGTAGGCTGGTTTTCTTTGCTTTATGTTTAAAAACCACCTATGAGTGAGTACATGTGATAATTGTCTTTCTGTGTCTGGGTTACCTCACTCAAAATAATGTTTTCTAGCTCCATCCATTTTCCTGCAAAATTCAAGCTGTCATTTTTTTTCTGCTGTGTAGTACTTCATTGTGTAAATGTACCACATTTTCTTATCCATTCTTCAGTCGAGGGGCATTTAGGTTGTTTCCAGGTTCTGGCTGTGACAAACAAAGCTGCTATGAACATAGTTGAGCACATGTCCTTGTGGCACGATTGAGCATCCTTTGGATATATACCCAAAAGTAGTATTGCTGGGTCTTGAGGAAGGTTGTTTCCTAATTTTCTGAGAAATCACCACACTGACATCCAAAGGGGGTGTACCAGCTTACATTCCCACCAGCAATGCAGAAATGTTCCCTTTTCCCCACAACCTCTCCAGCATAAGTTGTCATCAGAGTTTTTGATCTTGGCAATTCTTACACGTATAAAATGGAATCTCAGAGTTGTTTTGATTTACATTTCTCTGGTGACTAAGAATGTTGAACGTTTTCTTAAGTGTCTTCCAGCCATTTTAGATTTCTATGTTGAGAGTTCTCTGTTTAGGTCTGTACTTCATTTTTTTTAAAATTGGATTATGTGTTCTTTTGGTGTCCAAATTCTTGAGTTCTTTGTATATTCTGGAGGTCAGACCTCTGTCTGTTGTGGGGTTAGTGAAGATCTTTTCCCATTCTGTAGGCTGTCATTTTGTCTTGTTGACTGTGTCCTCTGCTTTACAGAAGCTTTTCAGTTTCAGGAGGTTCCATTTATTAATTGTTTCACTCAGTGTCTCTGCTAGTGAGGTTATATTTAGGAAGTGGTCTCCTGTGCCAATGCCTTCAAGAGTACTTCCCACTTTCTCTTCTGTAAGGTTCAGTGTGGCTGACTTTATGTTGAGGTCTTTGATCCATTTGGACTTGAATTTTGTGTATGGTGATAGATATGGGTCTATTTTCATTCTTTTTGCCAGCACCATTTGTTAAATATGCTTTCTTTTTTCCATTTGATATTTTTTGCTTCCTTGTCAAAAATCAGGTGTTCAAAGGTGTATAGATTGATTTTCGGGTCTTCTATTCAGTTCCATTGATCTTCCTGTCTGTTCTTTTGCCAATACCAGGCTACTTTCAGTACTGTAGCTCTGTAGTAGAGTTTGAAGTCAGGGATTGTGATGCCTCCAGAAGTTCTTTTATTGTACAGGATTGTTTTGGCTATCCTGGGTTTTTTGCTTTTCCAAATGAAGTTGAGTACCGTTCTTTCCAGGTCTGTGAAGAATTTTGCTGGGATTTTTCTGGGCATTGCGTTGAATTTGTGGATTGCTTTTGGTAAGATTGCCATTTTTCCTATGTTAATTCTGCCTACCCAAGAGCATAAGAGATCTTTCTACTTTCTGGTGTTTTCTTCAATTTCTTTCTTCAAAGATTTAAAATTCTTGTCATACAAGTCTTCCACTTGTTTGGTTAGAGTTACTCTGAGATATTTTATGCCATTTGTGGCTATTGTGAAGGGTGTTGATTTTTTTCCCCAGCCCTTTTATCATCTGTGTTCAGAAGGGCTACTGATTTTTTTGAGTAAATCTTGTATCCTGCTATATTACTGAAAGTGTTTATGAGTTGTAGAAGTTCCTTGGTAGAATTTTTGGGATTGCTTATGTAAACTATCATATCATCAGCAAACAGTGAGAGTTTGATTTCTTTTTTTCTAATTTGTATCCCCTTGATCTCCTTTTGGTGTCTTACTGCTCTAGCTAGGACCTCAAGCACTATATTGAATAGATATGGAGAGAGTGGACAGCCTTGTCTTGTGTCTGATTTCAGTACTTAGGGTTAGATAATCTATCAGGGGCCTTGTCTCTAGAAAAGACTTGATTGTCGTGTTCTCAGCAGTCATTGATTTTGTACAGCTCTTCATCTAGGAGTTGGGCTTTGTGAGATTTACCCATCTATGATAGCATGGCAAAGGGGTTGTCATTTTTCAGATCTTATGCAGGCAGCCTTGTTTTGAGATTTCATGGGTGCTCCTTCTTTGTGATTTATGGGAGACAATTTTAAGCAGCTGTCCTGGTCATCAGGCTCTTAACACATCCCTTTTCTACAGTGTTCCCTGAGTAGTAAATGTAGGGGTTACATTGCAGGTATACCACTTGGGTTTGAGTATCTCTTAGTCAGTTCATTTTTACTTAAAATGAGTTTTTAAAAGTTAATGTTGGTAGACATGGAAGGGTTCCTGTCCAGCCAGCATCATAAGGACTCCAGGTGTAATAGTTGTAGGTGTTACTTGCTTTTGCTAAATTAGTTTCAACTTGTTACGTTGCTATTGTAGTTGTATTATAGGTTGTATACATTTAATCCTAGTGCTCGGGAGGCAGAGGTAGAGTTCAAGGGCAGTCTGGTCTACAGAGTAAGTTCTAGGATACCCAGGGCTACATAGAGAAACCCTGTCTTGAAAAAATCAAGGGGAAAAAAATAAATCAACAGAAAATTCAAAGTATAATAAATACCTTCGTATTTTTTAACCTAAATTTACAAATGTTGAATTTTAAATAAAGCTGCGTGTGTGTGTGTGTGTGTGTGTGTGTGTGTGTGTGTGTCTCTGAGTGTGCTGACTGCATTTGTCTGTGCACCTTGGGCATACCTAGTGTCCTTGAGGCCAGAAGAGGGGGTCAGGTCCCCTGGAACTGGAATTGTGGATGGTTGTGAGCCAGATATGGATCCTAGGAACTGAACTGTAGTCCTGCACAAGAGCAAGAAGTGCTCTTAACTGCTGAACTATCTCTCCAACCCCGTACAAATGTTTATCACACTGCTTTTGACTACACCTCTTTACATTATTGTTGGTGGCTCAAGGAATTGTAATCTTTTAGGTCTGGTTACATTGGTCCTCTGTCTTGGTCTTTGTTATCAAGAGTTAGCATGTATAACAATCCAAATATGATATCTGTACATAATTAGTCCAACAATATAATGCTTTAACTTTTTCTTTCAACAGTCTTATCTTAAAGAAATGAAAAGCTCTCATCTTGCAGGTGTTATCTCATGGTCAGTGCAGTTCTCCAGGATCACACAGCCCTCACTTTCGGTTTCTGCTTATTTTATGCTGCTTTTTAATGCTTCGGGTAGCATTAATACATAGTTTAGCATTTATAATGTTATATGAGGGTTGCTTTGATGAAAAGTAGCTGATTATTGCTGGAATTAAAACCTCATTGCACTTTTTTAGTATTTGTGTGTTTGTTTATGTGTGTGTGTGTGCCCATGTGTATGTGCGCGCAGGTGTCCATGGAGACCTGAAGGCGGTGTTGAATACTCTGAAGCTGGAGTTATTAGTAGTTGTAGCCCATCTAATGTGGGTGCTAGGAACTGAATTTGAGTCCTTTGGAGAAGTAGCAAGTGCTTTTAACTGCTAAGCTGTCTCTCCAGCTCCAGTACTAGTAGAATCTTCTGCTAAAAGAACTTTGAAAATTTTTTAATTAGCTGTAAATGGATGTGTCTGTGTGAAGGTATGTTCACATGTGTGCTGGTACCCATAGAAGTCAGAAGAGGGTATCTGGTTCCCTGGAGCAAGAGTTATAGGTGTTTGTGAGCCACCCAACATGGGTGCTGGGAACCGAACTCATAACTTCAGAACCATCTCTTCCCAACTCCATACATTTTTTTAAGGTGAATTTTTAAAGTCTGATTCTGAAGTTGTCAAGTTATAAATTTCTATATCACAATGTTTCTGTTGATGGGCCTGTATAAACCTTGTCTGTTTCTTTGTTTTGTTTTGTTTTTTGGGAAGGAGTCTCTCTGTGTAACCCTGGCTGTCCTAGAACTAACTGTATAGACCAGGCTGCCTCAAACTCACAGATATCAACCTACTTCTGCCTCCTGAGTGCTGGGATTAAAGGTGTGCACCACTACCACCTGGCTCCTTGTTTGTTTTGTTGAAGCAGAAATAATATATTTCTTTCCTTGTCCTAGGTAGGAATGGATTAAAAACCCCTCAGCTTACAAGCCAGTTTTAACTAGTCTTTGCCATTTTTGCAGCCTCTCCTCTTAAGAATAATGATGAAGGCTCATTGGACATTTATGCTGGGTTGGACAGTGCTGTTTCTGGTATGTAAATTTCATAAAACAGTCTCATTTTGTTTGGTTGGTTTGATATGCTAGTTTTATTGTTATTGGCTCTTGGTAACTTCACAGCTCTGAAGTAATATGCCCTGTTTCTGAGATGATTACACAGAGGTAATTTCTTTCTGGCCCAAAGCTTGATCAGATCATATTAGCACACAGATTTGTTCCTCTAGGACTCAGGTTTAATTAGGCCTGTGCAAAAATATTTCATGCCATTGAAATGGCAACTGGTGTTGAACACACATGCCTGCCTATGTTCTCACAGCGAATAATGTTACCATGAGTGTCTTTAGATACATCAGGTCCACCTGTCCAATTAGAGCTTCTCCACAATCAGATCTTCCAGTGTTTTGTAACAGGGACAATTACCACACTGGATTCGTTGGAACAGCCATTTTATATAATGTGGCATTCCGGCCATCATTAGTAAATTAGTGTAGGTTATATGAAATACAGGTTAGAAGAAATGTAACCCTTTGAAGTAGATGCAACATCAAGAATCCTAGCACACACACACACACACAGTATGTATATATATAAAACAACACACCATTCTTTATGCTCACTAAAGTGTTTGATAAAACTAATTAACAAAGGAATTCTAACAAATATTTTAACATAAGTTTTGTGTGTTTTCAGACAGTACTGCTAGATCCTGTGTGTCATTCAGAAACTGTTTAGATTTGTATGAAGAGATCCTGACTGAAGAAGGAACTGCAAAGGAAGCGACATACAATGACGTATGAGTTGTCACTGTTCCCAAGTTCTTTCTTTCTTTTTTTTTAAATATTTATTTATTATTTATTATGTATACAATAGTCTATCTGTGTGTATGCCAAAGGCCAGAAGAGGGCACCAGACCTTATTACAGATGGTTGTGAGCCACCATGTGGTTGCTGGGAATTGAACTCAGGACCTTTGGAAGAGCAGGCAATGCTCTTAGCCACTGAGCCATCTCTCCAGCCCCCCCAAGTTCTTTCTGTAGCTACTGAAGAGGAGGCTGCAGCTTACTAGTGAACAGATAATCTGTGTTTAGAGATTAGTTCTAAAATTTAAAAAAATTTTTCATGATTTATTTTTATTTTATGTACATTGGTATTTTGCCTGCATGTGTGTCTGTGTGAGGGTGTCAGGTCCCCTGGAACTAGAGTTACAGACAATTGTGAGCAACCATCATGGCTGCTTGGAGTTGAACCCAGGTCCTCTGGAAGTGTAGCCAGTGCTCTTAACTGTTGAGCCATCTCTACAGTCCAGGAAGTAGTTCTTAAATTAACAGTATTTAAGGTAGTTTCTGCCTCTTACTTGTTTTTCCAAGATATACTTTCTGAATAAAAGTCTTAATTCAGTTACGATTTTATTTGACCAAACTTAAGTATATGAATGTATAAAACTTTAATAAACTATCAGTGTGATAGAACATTTTATTTTTTCATTATTTATATTAAAGTTGTGTATTACATAATGTATCTTGAGATTTATGAGACAAATTTCTTTTAACTGTATATTTGAATATTAAGGTTCAGAAGAACAATATGAAGTTTGTCAAAATGTACTATCAATGGGCTGAACTTTAGAAATCAATATTGTAGGCAGGCATGGAGGCAGTTGCCTGTAATCTCAGTGCTTGAGGCTGAGGCAGGAGGATCGAGAGGAAAGCAGCCTGGCCTACCTCTGGATACCCTGTCTGAGAAACAGTTAGAAACAACAACAAAAGTGGATATATCTGTCTAAAGAGCTCATGTGTACATTGATGATTTTTTTCCCTCAGAATCTTAACTGTCATTTAAGAAACTACAATAATGCTTAAATTAGTCCTTTCGTGTTTTACAGCTGCAGATAGAATATGGCAAATGTCAGCAGCAAATGAAAGAGCTGATGAAAAGGTTTAAGGAAATACAGACACAGGTATCGTGGTTATTTCTTCCTTGCTAACATTTATGTGGTGTGTGTGTGTGAGCGCGCGCACGAGTAAATGGGTGTGGGTGCACATGTTTGCACATGCATGTGGAAGTCAGAGATCATCCTTGGGTATTGTCCCTCAGGCACCATCTGCCTTGTCTTCTGAGACAGGATTTCCCACTGGCCTGCATTTCACCACACAGGCTAGGCTTTCTCAGTCTCATGGATCCAACTCTCCCCACCTTTCCAGTGCTTAGATTACAGACATGTACAGCTTAAAATAACTCTTTATGTGAATTCTGAGGAGTCAGACTCACATCCCCATGCTTGTATGCCTAGCTCTTTACTATCTGAACTATCTTCCCAGGCAGCCCTTTTTAATGTTTTATTTATGAACATAAAGCCCGGGATTGATCCCCAGGATGGGCAGACATACAGATAGATGTACATACATCAATGAGTGTAGTCCTAGCTGCTTAGGAGACTGGAGTGGGAGGACCTTTTAACCTTGGGGTTGAGGACCAGCCTGGGTAGCATAGTAAGACTATCTCATTATTAAAGAAAAAAGTTATAACTAAAGTTAAAATATTAAAATGTTGGCAGTTTATATAAAGCTTAAAAGCTTAATACCAGGGCTGTAGAAATGGCTTAGAGGTTAAGAGCCCTGGCTGCTCTTCCATAGGATCCTGGTTCAGTTCCTTGCAGTCCTATGGGAGCTCTCAGTTGTCTGTAACGCCAGTTCCAGGGGATCCGGCACCCTCACACAGACATACATGCAACCAAATATCGAATAGCTTGATGTTGCACATTTTTAAAAAAAAAAGGATTAATACCCAGGTTTTGTGCTGCAAGGCAAATACCCTGTAACTGAAGTATATCCCCAGCCCTATTTTCTTAGTAATTAAGATGATAAAATATTGGCAGCTTATAAAGAGGGTTTTTTTTTTTTTTTTTTTTTGTGATTGAACCCAAGGCCTGGGTCTCTAAACTTGTGAGCTAAGCATTTAGCATCTGGCATTATTTCTTACTCCCAAGTACTTGCACTAAAAGCGTGTACACCACACTCAACTAAAAGAGGATAGTTTTGAGGAACAAAGATTAGGATTTTTGGTGGGGGGGGGGTAGAGAAACAGTGGCAAATCACAGTTGTCAGTTCTTTTTGTGATTATGCTGCAAAAATAATGAATGTCGCAGTGTTCTGTCTACTTTTTTGTAAACTTCTTTTTCTTGATTCTCCTTTGAAAGAACCAGCTCTAGATTCTGTTTGAAAACTAACATCTTTGCAGTTTTAGCTTGTTAAATGGGATAGTGCCTAACACTTCTTAGTGGTTTGTTTGTTTTGTTTTGTTTTGTTTTAAGACGTGGTCTCACAATGTAGTCCTGGCTGGCCTGGAACTTCCTGTGTGGTCCAGGCTGGCTTCCAACTTGCAGAGATTCTTTCTGCCTCTGCCTCCTGAGTTCTGGGACTAAAGGTGTGCACCACTACGCCTAGCAGATCATGTTTTAGTTATAAAAACTAAGTATTTAGTTATTAAAACTAAAACGTCAATATAGTGGTCCAGGCAGAACTTTCTGTGCTGTGTTACTGCTTTTACAGTCTGATGCTTGTCTGAAGTATTTCCTATCAGGTGGGACTTTTACTGTGTTGGGTATCGTCTTAGAAACTCAGCTGCTGCATCTGAGCAATGGGAAAATAATCATTCTTAGAGAGCTCCTCAGAATTACCTAAGATAAAATGTTTAATGCCTAGCATTAATTAGTATCAGCAATTAGTAGAGGGCTGAGTATGGTGACATATGTAGTAATCCCCCACACATGCACTGGAGGAGAGGCGGAAGGATCAGGAGAGTTGAAGGCTATCATGAAAGCTACAGCCAAGCTACCCCACAACTAGTTGTACTTTTGACAATCCTGTCTATTTTTGGTATATTAGTAGATCTTATTAATCTTTGTTTTAGAACTTGAACTTAAAAAATGAAAACCAGTCTCTTAAGAAGAATATCTCAGCACTGATCAAAACTGCCAGAGTGGAGATAAACCGTAAGGATGAAGAGATAAATCATCTTCACCAAAGGTATCACCGGGTGTCACCTGTCACCATTCACATAAAGTATGGTTTTCAAAGCATGAAATGTGTATTTGAACAAATAGTTACAGTTCTACTGTAAATGGCAGCTACTCTGCTAATGATTTGTAGTGATAACTATGGATACTGATGAAACATTGCCACATAGTTCCAAATACACAGTTTTCTAAATCACTGGGATCTTGCTTTAGTACTGCTTACCAGAGAAAGTCAGTGTGCATGTCCTGAGTTTTTCTGGCCATACCTGTTACTGAGGTCAGGGCAGAGGAGTACCTCAGATACAGTCAAGCATGTGCCCAGAACTCCTGGAAGAAAGAAAGAAGGCTGAGCAAGTGAAGGCACTTGGAGCCTAGCCTGCTGACCTGAGATCAACCCTGAACTCCAGATGCTAGGAGAGAACCAGCTCCCGCAAGTGCACTGTGACCTCCACACGTGTGCTATGGCATGCTTGTGCTCCCTTCCTCCCCAAATAAGTCAACAAATTTTAAATGCAAATTTTAAAATGACAAGAAAGAAAGGGTTATCTACTAGCCTTTAGTTAGTAAGGGCTATTTACTAACTCCGAGTGGGTTTTGTTGATAATTTTTCTCACTCTCTTCAGTTCAGGGTGACATTCTGGTCCAGGGTAGTTCATTATCCATGTCTCCCCATCTATCCCATAGACAGAACTGAAAGAATTGCTTAACTTGGTGCTGCCATTTCTTCCCTTTCTGTTGTATTTGTTTTTAAGCATAGGGTATTAACACATAACTAACACATAACTAAGGCTGACTTTGAATTTATTGTTCATCCCTCTGTCTCATCCCCCTGAGGCATACATTAAATTCAGGTTAGCAAGTGCCATTACCCACTGAGCTATCTTGTCAGCCCCTTTGTACTTACTGAACCCAATCCTATTTTGTCTTCACTGGTCACCAAAGCAGTTGTCATTTTGATCATCAGTTACTTGCACTAAATCCAGCAAACAGTTTCTGACTGTCCATTTAACTTTTCTTCACGTGTGCTATTTAACTCCATTACCCTCCTGCTTTGAAGCAGTCTCTCCCTATAATTAATTACATTAGTAATGTGATGATTGTTGATTATCTTTCTGGGTGCATATTTATGTTTTGGCTGTTCCTTTGAGTCTCTCAACGATCAAGCCTTTGTCCCCTTTTTCTCTCTTTTAAATTTATTTTATTGGTGTGCTTGCTGGTGCTCAAGGATGCTAGAAGGGGACATCGGATCCCCTCAGAGCCACGGTTTCAGACATTTGTGTGCCGCCCAATCTTGGTACTGAGATTTGAGCGCTGGTCCTCAAATAGAGCAGTATTGTATTCTTAGCCAGTGAGCTGTCTTTTCACTCTACCTGTTGCGTTTCTTCATGAGGACAATCCCATAGGCTGGAGAGATGGCTCGCTGGTTGGGAGAGCGGGCTGCTCTTCCAGAGGACCTGGGTTCAGCTCCCAGCATCCATTCACATGGCAGCTCAGAGCTGTCTGTAGCTCCAGTTCCAGGGCATCTGACACCCTCACACAATGCACATGAAATAAAGTTAAAGTATTTAAAATAAAAAAGTTTAAAGGAAAATACTTTTTTTTTTTTTTAAAAGGAACAATATCATACATGCTAGGCCAATTTAATTTGTACTTTATCCACATGAGTCTAAAAGGGCTTTTAAAATTTATTCAAAAAGTTTGTCACAAAGCCTTTTCCGTTGTTTTCTAGCTTAGTAGAAAACAGTGCTATTTATTCAGTTAGTGTACATCAAACCTGTAGGAGATGGTTGGCATTTAACTCCTGGTATTAGAGTCCTTGTGAGAAGCTGCTGTCAACACCAGGACTGAGAAGTAGAACACTGCATCACTCTGCCTGTGGTGTTTTGCTGTTAGCCACTTCTCAGAGCCACTACTTATGCCCCTGGCATCTGGCAGTGTGTTTCTTTCTCTTCTTTTATTCAGATGCTGTAGCCTACCTACTCCCATGCAAACCAGCAGTAATATCAGTGGCTTTGGAATGTTCTTGGGATAAAGGTTAAATATCTTAACTTGCCCCTCAGGGCCCTCACGGTGTAGGCCCAACCGTTTCTCGGGCCTGCCTGTGTTTACTCTGTATAAGCGCCATGGCTCTGTCAGTTCCTGCAGGCATCCCAAGCTCTGCATTTGTGTGTGTCCTTTTTTTACTGTGTGCAATGACTTGTCCCTTCATCCTCTAGTTTTGGCATAATAATCTTGTTTTTGTTGTTGCTGTTTGTTTTTAGTTTTATGTGTACGGGTGTTTTTTCTGTCTTATGTATACCATGTGTATGCCTGGCACGTATAGAGGCCAGGAGAGGGTATTAGATCCCTGGGACTGGAGTTACATATGGTTGTGATCACCATCCTCAATCCAGAAGAACTGAGCCCAGAGCCTCTGGAAGAGTAACCAGTGTTCTTAGCCACTAACCCCCCCCCCCTCTCCAGCCCCTAATTAACCATCTTTCTAGCAGGGGATACTTACCTGGTCTCTGTGTCTAAATCAGATTTCTTTTGTGGGTTTATGTATACTTGCAGTTCTTAAAATTATGAGTGAGATTCCTTGACTAGTATCTTTTGCTTTTCCTATAATGTAAGTTTCATGAAACAGGGTTGTGTTTGCTTTGCCTTGAGCATTTTCCCAGTTGCATTTCCCATGGTATCTGGCATATTGTAGATCTTTATTTGTTAACTGACTAAAGACTGCCATTGTGTGGACCATTTTGTCTTATTTAGGTGTTTAGAAAGTAAGGACAGCTGTTCATTTATTTATTACTCCAAGTCATTCCCAGTGTACCGTGTATTAATGTTGGTTCCTGAATTGTTGGAGAAGTTGTATAGGTTTTTTGTTCTTGTTGTTATTTGTTTATATGTAGCCTTAATTTGGAACTCAGGTTATCCTAGAATTCACAGAGATCTTCCTGGGACTGGGACTAAAGGTGTGTGCTACAGCACCAAGCTTGTAAAGGTGTGTGTGTTTGTGTGTGTGTGTGTGTGACCTTATTAAGTTTTATGTGGCTATGTATTATTTAATAAATATCCTACCAAATATTTGTACTGTGAGCTAACTAGTATTATAATAATAACTAGTTAGGCCGGGCGGTGGTGGCGCACGCCTTTAATCCCAGCACTCGGGAGGCCGAGGCAGGCGGATCTCTGTGAGTTCGAGGCCAGCCTGGTCTAGAAGAGCTAGTTCCAGGACAGGAACCAAAAGCAACAGAGAAACCCTGTCTCGAAAAATCAGAAAAAAACAAAAACAAAAAAAAACTAGTTAACATTGAGTAGAAATTTAACATTTACTGAAGCAAAATTGAAATTATAACATATGACAAAAACAGAAAAGTAAACATGTGAATCCTGGGAAATGTATGATGTAAAGGTATGTTTAAAGGTGAAACTGAGGAAGGGTACGTTGGCTCATTTGATAAAGGTGCTTGCAGCCAAGTCAGCTGTTGTGAGTTCCATCCTTGAAATCCTCATGGTGCAAAGAACCAACTTCCACGTTGTCCTCTGACCTTTGACGTGCTTATGCATGTGCGCGCGTACACACACACACACACACACACACACACACTCATGCACTCAAGAACAAACAAACACACAAAGACAAGTAAATATGATTAAAACTTTTTTGGAGCTGGATGGTGGTGGTGCACGTCTTTAATCCCAGCAGAGCAGGCAGCTCTCTGTTGAGTTTGAGGCTAGCCTGGTTTACAGAGTGAGTTCCAGGACAGGTTTCAAGGCTACATAGAGAAACGCTGTTTCAGAAACAAACAAACAAACAACAACAAAACTGGTAGTTCTCTATAGTCTGTGCCAGAAGCTGTGACTGGACGCTGTCTTTCAGGAGTTTGTAGTTTGATAAATGTGTGGCACATTACACATACACAGCATGTATTGTATCGGAAAAGTCTCCAGTTCTGTGACTTTCCTTTTGCTCTTTTAGCTGTGCCTTTTGAGAAACAGATCTATTAGCAAAATTTAGTTATAAAGTATTTTTCTTTTATGGTTACATGTTGTAGGAGGCTGCTTGTCCGTCCGTCCCTCCCCTTCCCCCTGGCAGCTCAGACCCAAAATAATCACACAGAAACCCTATTATTTGCAATACTGTTTGGCTAGTAACTTAAGTGTATTTCTGGCTAACTTATATCTTTAATAACCCATCTCTATTTTTCTGTGTATTGCCATGAGGCTGTGGCTTACCTGGTAAGATTCTGGCGTCTGTCTCTGGTGGGATTACATGGCTTCTCCTGACTCTGCCTCCTTTCTCCCAGCATTCAGTTTAATTTTCTGTTCCTACCTAAGTTCTGCCTTGGTATAGGCCAAAGCAGTTTCTTTATTCATTAACCAATAACACATAGACAGAAAGAACTCCCACACCAGTTACTGCTTATTATCACGTTTCCCCAGTTGTCTTAGAGGTATCTTCTAGTAATTGTGACTGTTGTCCCAGGTCACCAGTGCCCAAGGCAAGCTCCTCCACTCTCTGAGCTGTCATGCTGGCTCATATATTTTATCATTAAGAAAACACCAATATAAGCCATAACAATGGGCCTTTTGTCCCCCTTCTAAGGAACGAACCACAGTTCTGTATGTCATCTGCCACAATGATTTGCCTTATTACGGAGTTTTATATAAAACAGCAAAGTAGGATTGGGAATTGTATTGAGTTTGATTATGTGCGTCTAGTAAGACTTTCTATTTATTCAGTGAGGTTGCTGAAGAGAAGAAAGTAAACATACTTGTCGTAAACAAAGTGTGCTATGATGACTTGGGAGTTTGGTATCTCTGCTGAGTCCAAAGAGAACTGGCAGGTGCTAGGATTTGAAGCAAAAGCAAGTGAGAGAGTTCCTTGTATTGTTTTTAATTCAGTGTTTTCTTGCATTCAAGTGCTTTATCGCAGATCTACACCCCGAGCCCAAGTGTTTTGCTCATACTGGTTTTGCCAGCATATAAACTTGAAAAGTATGTCATATGTGAGTAAAGTCTAAAATACTATTAAATATCAGTTAACTTTGCTTTTTTGCTAATTCCTGTTTCTTAATAGATTGTCTGAGTTCCCACATTTTCGAAATAACCATAAAACTGCAAGAACCAAAGATTCAAGATCCAGATCTCCCCATTTGGATGATTGTTCAACGACTGATCACAGAGTTAAAACTGATGCTCGTAAAGATGCACATCCTAGCACTTCACAGCCAAACCTGGAAGAGGACGGAAAATCACATCCTGAAGCACAGAATCCTTTACACTTGCCTACTGGTATTGAGAAACATTGTACTAACAATGTCTGGTCACGTTCTCATTACCAGGGTAGTGAAGGTAACTCAAATGAGGATAATCGAAGAGGAAAGAATGGCATTAGACATAGCCATTGTAGTAGAGGAACTGACCGGCCACAGAAAGAGAAAGACTTGAACAACAGCTGTAGTGATGGGGAACGAAGGGACAGAGAGACTAATTCCAGACTACAAGGAAACCTTGAGAAACGTGGAAGCAGTGAAGCAAAGTCTGAGAGCAAAAGTTCAGAGAGTAAAAGTAGCACTGGTTTGGGATATAAAAGTGAACGCAGTACCTCTTGTTGGGAAAAAGAGCCTTCTAGAGAAAGACCACACTCTCGAGTGGAATCTCAAAATGACAAAAATCTAGAGAGACAAAATGAAAGATTACAAAGTACGCACAGAAAAGAGCTTCAGTCTCAGGACAAAGCAGAGAGAAAAGGTGACGTGAAGTCTAAACCAGCAGGAGAGGACCAGGGGCACCGTGGAAGAGGGGAGCGGGCGTTGCCTCCTCATCCCAAGAATGACATAAAATACGGCTTCAGTAAATATCATCCAGAAGAGAGGAGGGGAAGGGAAGATTGTAAAAGAGACAGAGGGATGAGCAGTCACGGCTTTCAAGATAGAAGATACTCATCTTCTCTTTCGGGCAACAGAGATAGCAAGTACCCGCACTCCAAGGGAATCAGTGTTGCACACCAGTGGGAAAATACACTTTTCAAGGCAGAAAGACACCGGACTGAGGACAGAAGGAAAAGAGAACGAGAACACAAAGAAGAGAGCAGACACGTGAGAAGTGACAAAAAATCACCTGCAGAATCTTCACAAAGGACTAATAGAGAAACTAAGAAAAGCACTACTGATGTAAAGAGACAGACTGAGCCCAAACCTGGTAAAGGTGAGGGCTCTAATGACGAGGTTTCTAAAGGCACAGGTAATAAAGAATGTGCAGTGAAAGTTGAGAATGGACCAAATGATGTAAAAAGCAAAGACTTAAAGTTAAGCTTCATGGAAAAACTGAACTTAACTCTTTCTCCTGCTAAAAAGCATCCTGTTTGTCAAGATAACCAGCATCAAGTACCTGGTGTTCCCAAACCCAGTGTTCTGTGTGACTCACCGTCCTCAGAGAAGACTGCAGCGGTGGTGTGTCTTCCCTCTGTCAGTGCACTTAGTCCAGAGGAAAGCAAGGTGGAGTTAGCAGAGCCAAAGGAGGCTCTTCCAGTGACATCTCGATTCGGGATCAACACTGCAGAAAACAGCACGAAGGAAGAAAAAAGATTGTTGGTTCAATCTGTTGAGAATACTGTGCCTCAGGAAATGCTTGTGTGTGGCACGGAAGTTTCCTTCCCAGCACCTGCAGAAATAGAACAAACAAAACCCTTGCTTCCGTCTGTGGAAGTGGAAGATTTGCGTGGTGACGCGAGGGCTGCAGCTTCTGTGGTGATGGATGCACTACCAGGACATGCTTCTGAAGATGTAGGCCGAGAATTGGACACCATGGGACATAATGACTTGAATTCTTGTGATGTTTCTGAAGGTGTGAAAGCAGCTGTAGCCAGTAAGAGCCTTCTGCAACCTTTGGCTGAAGAACCTGGCATTTCACTAGTAGACTGTTTGGGAGACAGTAATCCTAAACTTGAATCTTCTCTTGACGATGTACCTGTCGTTGAGAATAAATCTTGTCCTTTGGATCCTTGTTTACCTAAAGAGACTTTTGTACCTTCACCACAGAAGACTGAGTTGATTGACCACAAAATAGAAACTGGAGAATCAAACTCAGTGTATCAAGATGATGATAACTCAGTTTTAAGCATTGACTTTAATCATCTGAGACCTATTCCAGAAGCCATCAGCCCTTTGAATAGTCCAGTGAGACCTGTAGCTAAAGTTCTTAGCATGGAGAGCTCTTGTGTGATTCCACAGTATGATATCAGTCGTAAAGGTAATTGTTTATATTACATAATCGTCTATAAGTTGTCCTTGTGTCACAGTGTTAAACAGTATAAAAAAAATAGGTCCTTTGGGGATTTACAAAACTATCCATTTATATTGTGTGCTTGTGTGTATGTATAAGGGGTTTGTGTGTACCAAGGAATGTTGTGGAGATCAGAGGGCAATCATGAGTTGGTACTCCAATGTACCTTTACATGGGGTCTCCTGGAACTGAAGTTAGAGGCAGCTATGAATTGTCACACAGGTGCTAAGAAATAAATCCTGGTCGTCTTCAAGAACATTACGTTACCTTAACCACCGAGACACCTCTCCAGCTCCTGAGCCATCTTTTCTGATAACAACAACAAAAAACAGTACTGTTATTCAATTATTAATTAAAGGGCTGGAGAGATGACTCAGCAGTTAAAAACAATGGCTATTCTTGCAGAGGACCCGGGTTCAAGTCCCAGCCCCCACATAGTGGCTCAAATGCATCTGTTACTCTAGTCCCAGGGGATCTAACACCTCTTGTGCCTTCTGAGGGACATATACAGACAGTCATATTAAAAAAACAAGTAAAGTTAAAAATTGAAAAAGAACCAAATTAACTATGAGGGGCTAGAAAGACAACAGCATAAGTAAATTAAAAACAGAGGTGTACACTGAACCTGTAATGTACATTTAACAACTTCATTTTTTAAAAAAATATTTTTAAGATTTATTTTAGTATGCGTACAATGTTTTGTCTGCATGTAGGCCTGCATGCCAGAAGAAGGCACCAGATTTCATTATAGATGGTTGTGAGCCACCATGTGGTTGCTGAGAATCGAACTCAGGACCTTGGAAGAACAGCCAGTGCTCTTAACCTCTGAGCCATCTTTCCAGCCCAACAACTTCATTTTTTAGGCACAATATTTTGATCCTGTTTCCCCTGCCCCAAGTCCTCAGATCTTCCTCACTTCACCCACCGACTTTATATTTTTTCTTTCCAAAAAAAAAAAAAAACCTCCACAAAATTGTCAAAAAAAAAGAATCAAAAATAATAAAATAAAACCAGTAAATTAAAAAAAATCATAGCCAGGCGGTGGTGGTGCACACCTTCAATCCCAGCACTCAGGAGGCAGAGGCAGGTGGATCTCTGAGTTCAAGGCCAGTCTGGCCTACAGAGTGAGTTCTAAGACAGGCCCAAAAGCTACATAGAAATCCTGTCTTGAAAAACAAAACAAAACGAAAAATTCACAAAGCAAATGAATCAAAAAGTCCCTCCACACAAAAGAAACCAAACCACCTATTCCTTGGCGTGGTCCCTGTCTTGGAGTATGGTTGATAACAAGTTTTAGTTCATTAAGATTTTCCCTTTGCCGTGGGTATCAATTACAAATAGCCTGATGAATGACTCCATTTTCCAGATAGAATTTAGACGATTTCTTTTTTAAAAAACATGTATTATGTATGTATATGACTGCTCTATTCGTATGACAGAAAAGGCCATTTGATCTCATAGATGTTTATGAGCCACCACATGGTTGCTGGGAACTGAACTCAGGTCCTCTGGAACACTCAGGTCTTAAGTGGAAAAGCAGCTGGTGCTCTTAACCACTGAGCCATTTCTCCAGCCCCATAATTTAGACAGTTCTTAATTCTTTCCCCCTCTGCTGCTGGGAATTGAGCCCAGGGCCTCTTGTGCTAGACATGCCCTCCTGCTGAGCTCTATCCCATCTCTGCAGTGCTTACAGGTTTTATTGTGTATGTGTGTATGAGGGTAGTGTCCAAGTGTATACATGTTCATGTTTGTATACACTAGTGTAGACACCAGAGGTTGATGTGGGACATCTTTCTCAATCACTCTACTTTTACTGTATCTCCTTGAACCCAGAGCTCACAAATTTGGCTAGTCTAGCTCAGTGAATTGCCAGAGATCTCTGTCTCTGCCTCCCAGGCACTGGGATTGCAGGTGTGCTACCATACCTATAAAGTTTTGATGTGGTGCTGGGAGCCAAAATCCAGTCCTCATATTCAAGTGGCAAGCACTTTATTCACCAAGTTGTTTCTATACCACCTGTTTGGTTTTTTTTTTTTGTTGTTGTTGTTGTTGTTTTTAGGCAAGTTTTTCCTGTATAGCCAAGGCTGGCCCTGAACTGGTGATCTTCCTGCCTTATCTTCCTGGCTATTAAAATTGTAGGTGTATGCTGCCATGCTCAGTTTTACTGTTTTTATTAAAAAGGGGAGTAATTGGATAAATTGTTTCTTTACTTCACACATGCATCCATACATACATACATTCATACATACATACATGATTCTGTTATTTTGTAGTTGAATATTAGGCCCAGAACTTTGAGTAGATTTCAGCTATACTTTTGTTGTTCAGAAGGCATCATCAAATAGCATAGGGGAAGTGATACTGATAAAATGAAATTAAAATTACCCAAATGATAGACTTGTCAGTTAACTGACCTTCTGTGACTTTTATTTTTCCCAGTGCTGGGAATCAAATCCAGGACATCAGTGCATGCTAGCAAATGTTCTACCAAGTCACAACCCCAGCACCTTTTAGTTCTTTGTAAGACAAGAAATAAAGGCTGAGTCAAGGTGGTGATGGTTCACAACTTTAATCCCAGTACTCAGGAAGCAGAGGCAGGTGGATCTCTGAGTTTGAGGCCAGCCTGGTCTACAGAGTGAGTTCCAGGACAGCCAGGATTGTTTCACAAAGAAATCCTGTTTTAAAAAACAAAAAAGAAAGGCCAGTGGAAATGTTTATTAAGATTTAACATTTTGCCTTTAATGGGGAAAGGTTATTAAAATAATATTTTGTAGTGTTTAAGATGAAAATGTCTAATGACTTAAGACTCGGTGGTCATGTGATTTTAATATATTCTTCTCCACAGATGAGATTCTATCCAATTCAACTCATTCTACCTTCAAGAATCAGTCTGAGCTAAATAAAGAAAATAAAAAACCAGTTCCCAAATTTGACAAATGTTCAGAAGCAGGCTCTTGTAAGGATTTGTCTTTAGATCAATTAGAAGATGGGGAAATTAGAAGTGATGATGAAAAGTCAGTAGCTCAGAAACACCTGGAAACAAGCGCAGGACCTAGAGCTTCTGCTGAGGTGCCGACGGGGAGGAGCAGCCCAGGAAACAGGAGGAGCACTGCGCATGTGCACAAGGACCACAAGCGGACTGTTGTCAAACTCCCTCAGGACAGTATCAAGTCTAGTAAGAGACCAAGTGAATCTAGGTCCTCGGGCACTGAAAGGAAAAGTAAAGCAGTGAGCGTCTCCAGCCTGGAAAAAATTCTTCCACTTATTCTTGCACCCTCTTCTTTATGGGAGGTTATGCACATGCTACGGATGCTAGGAAAGCATGTAAGGAGAAGTTACATGAAATTCAAGATGAAATTTTCATTGAGACAGTTTCATAGAATTATTGAATCAGCAATTTTGAGTTTCACATCACTAATTAAATACCTTGACTTGTCTAATATCTGTAAGTCAGTAAGCACTTTACAGAAGAATCTTTGTGAAGTTATAGAATCTAACCTTAAGCAAGTGAAGAAGAATGGCATAGTTGACCGCTTATTTGAACAGCAGCAACCAGATATGAAAAGGAAATTGTGGAAATTTGTAGATGAACAACTTGATTATTTGTTTGAAAAGCTTAAAAAAATCTTAATAAAGTTTTGTGATTCTGTAAACTTTGGAAGTGACAATAGTGAAGGAAAACTTGGAAAAAAATATAAAGAGAGAACCCAACATTCAAGTTGTCAGAAGGGGATTATGAACAACACCAAGGAAGCACAGAGAGAAAAGGTGCAAACATCAGAAAATACTATGAATTTTAAATCCTCACTGGGATGTGAAAAGTTTGAAGAAAAACATCAAGACCAAAGCAACACCAATAGTAGTACAGTAAAGCATGACGTCAGAAGAACTGTTAGCACTTGTCCAGGTAGTACAATGAACTCTGAATGTAAAGAACAGTTGCTGGAAGTGAACTGCCCGAGCACCCCCAAGCCAGGAAAGAATGAAGGAAATACCGTGGAAGAGGCCCATGTGTTACAGCATGCAGGTGCTAAGCCAGAGCGGAGCTTTGAGATCCTTACTGAGCAGCAGGCATCCAGCCTTACTTTTAACTTAGTGAGTGATGCACAGATGGGTGAAATATTTAAAAGTTTGCTACAAGGTTCCGATCTGTTGGACAGCAGTGTTAATGGCACTGAAAAGACAGAGTGGGAATTAAAGACTCCAGAGAAACAGTTGCTAGAGAGTCTCAAGTGTGACTCTGCACCAGCTTGTACAACAGGAGAGCTCGTTTCAGAGGGAGCGTCTCCATGCCCCAAAGTGGTTAGCGAGGATAATTGGTCTTTATTGTCATCTGAAAAGGGCCCGTCTCTATCTTCAGGACTTTCACTGCCAGTTCATCCTGATGTACTTGATGAAAATTGTATGTTCGAGGTATCTTCTAACCTTCCTTTAAGCAAAGATAATGTATACAGCTCAGAAAAGAGTAAACCCTGCATTTCTTCCATACTCTTAGAAGATCTTGCAGTCTCTTTAACAGTACCGTCACCTCTGAAGTCAGATGGCCATTTGAGTTTCTTAAAGCCTGAAGTTTCGTCAACTTCAACCCCTGAAGAAGTTCTCAGTGCACATTTTAGTGAAGATGCTTTGCTTGAGGAAGAGGATGCATCTGAACAGGACATTCATCTCGCTCTGGAGTCTGATAACTCAAGCAGTAAGTCAAGCTGTTCATCATGGACAAGCCGGTCCGTTGCTCCAGGCTTTCAGTACCACCCTAATTTGCCTATGCATGCTGTCATAATGGAAAAGTCCAATGATCATTTCATTGTGAAAATACGGCGAGCAGCGCCATCTACTTCCCCTAGCCTTAAACATGGCGTGCTACCTGAGGAGTCATTGACATCTTTGCCTAGAACTGAAAAAGACGCTGATGCGGCACCAGAGAAAGAACCCACTCCACTTCAGAATACAGTTCTTAAGTCTGTTGAGGACTTGGAAAATTCTGACGGGAATGTTGATAATAGCAAACCAACTCATGAAGAGCCAAACTCTGTTGTACAAACACAGGTTCCAGATATATATGAATTTCTTAAAGATGCCTCAAGGAAGGTAGAGCATTGTGATCAAGTAGTTGATGATTGTTTCAAGTTGCATCAAGTATGGGAACCAAAAGTTTCTGAGAACCTTCAAGGATTGCCTTCAGTGGAAAAAATCCCACGCTCTGTTGATGATCATCTTCCTAATAATATACACATAGACCTAACAAAAGATCCAGCCACTGAGACTAAAAACTTGGGGGATCTCATGGAAGTAACAGTTTTAAATATTGACCACTTGGAATGTTCTGGAACCAACTTAGATCAGGATTCACAGATAATAGGTGGTTCTTTACAGCCTGATACTATAGATGCTTTTATTGATTTGACACATGATACTTCAAACGAGGGAAAAACTGAAGCTGTGTCAGCTGGTGAAGACGTGGAATGCCAGGTGATCTGTATAGATGAGGAGAACCACAAAGAAGCAAAGATGGGAAGGGCAAGCGGTCCTGCAGAACGCTTTGTTGAAGAAACTTGCATTGATTTGACCCCAGAGTCTCCTGGCTCATGTGAAATAAAGACACTTGCTTTAAAATCAGAGCCACCATTAAACCTGGATTGTGTAGAGTTGCCTGGGACTCTGGGTAATGTTCACAAGAAGAGAAAAAACAGTCCTGGGCTAAATCATTCATCTCAGAAAAAACAAAGAAGGGAAACAGACTTAACCAGTAATGAAAAGACCAAGAGACTTCCTCAGAATTGTGATGGAAATGGGGATGCTCACAGGAAGCAAGCCAGCAAGAAGAGGGAGCCTGCGGTAGATGACACCACACCCTTGTCATCAGAGGCCAGCCCAGGGGCGAAGGCTTCAGCTACAGCACTTGCTACTTTTCCAACAAGCCTTTCTGCAAAGAATGTTATCAAAAAGAAGGGAGAAATTATAGTTTCATGGACAAGGTAATATTTTTCAGAAATGTTTTAAATCATTAGGAATTTTTGGGAAGTTGTCAGTCTGTAATCTGTCATTTCCTGAGAATTCTGTTGCATCCTAAATAAGGAGCATGGTGAATTGATTACTTTAGAAGTAGCCGACGTGGGACTGGAGGCCTGGCTCAGTGGTTAAGAACACTTGCTCTCGCATAGGACTTGACTTTGGTTCCTAGGACCCACATCAGGTGTCTCACAACTCCAGTTCCAGGTGAACAATGTCTCTGGCCTCTGAGAACATCTGAAGTTGAATGCAAACACTCAGACTCCCTCTCTCCCTCTCCCTCCCTCTCTCCCTCTCTCTCTCTCTCTCTCTCTCTCTCTCTCTCTCTCTCTCTCTCTCTCTCTCTCTTTCTCTCTCTCTCTCTCTCATACACACACACACACACACACACACACACACACACACATAATTTTAAAAAGAAAAATGGCCAAAGTTAGTTGACAATGTATTTTGGAGTACAATGTAGCTGTGGTGTAAAACAATCTAAATAATAGCTTTTATCCAGAGGTGTGAATGACCCCTCTTAATAGAGCTACTTATTGTGGGCTTTATTTCTTTTGGTTGGGCATGTGATTTGTTTTGGTTTTGAGACATAAACTCACTCTGTAACCCTGAGTGGTCTGAAACTCATCCAGCTGCCTCTTTTTCTAAGTGCTGTGATTAAAAATATGAGCTACCACATGCTGGCTGATTCGCTTTTGGATTAGACCTCACTGTAGCACATACTGGCCTCAAACTCAGGATCCCCCTGCCTCAGCTTCCCAGGTATGAAGATAAGTCTCCACAGTGGGTTTTTTTTTAACCCTTTTTTTAAAAAAATAGTTTGATTTACTTGTATTTCATGTGCACTAGTGTTTTGCCTGCATGTGTGTCTGTGTAAGCGTGTCAGATCCCCTCAACAGGAGGTACCGTTAATGAGCTGCTCTGGGGATGCTGGGAATTAAATTAACCTGGGTCCTCTGGAGGAGCATCCAGTGCTCTTAACCGCTGAACCACCTCTCCAGTCCTGCTTTCATTACTTTTAGCTTCCCTTTTTCTATTAAAAAATTCTTTGACTTGGAAGGAAATTCTTATAAACACCATTTAGAAAGGAGTGACAGATGTGAAAGTCGTGAAAGAAAAAGTAGGGGTGCATAATTGATGTTTCTAAGCTGTTACGTAAACAAAATGTACTTTGAGTTTTATGTGACCTTTTAAAGAGTTCGGTATGTGTTCTTTGGTGTGGCATACCACATCTTTAATCCTATCCGCCAGGTAGAGAGTTTGGTCTCCATAGAGAATTCCAGGCTAGCTAGAGCTGTGTAGAGAAGACCCAGTCTCAAGAAAGGAAAAAAAATTAGACTTTTTCTTTTTGGTAACATCTCAACTAAATAAGTTTTTTGTAGTTTTAATATATAATTTAAATTTTTAAAATTTATTTTCTGTGTGGAGAAATAAGTTGGGTGGAAGCATGACTGAGGCAAATATTCTTAGTCAGTCACCAAGACCTAGTTTGTTTCTTGACCAGGTCTAAAGGACAAGGGGTAGGGGCAAATTGCAAATTTTTTGGTGCCTTTGCTATAGAAAATTTGGGAAATATGAACTCAAAGAGTAAGATAATGTGTAGTTATGTATCGTTGATAGCCTTACTTGTTTTGGCATATATGTACTTTTATTATAGATCTTACTGAAAATGGTGTTTCTGTTGAATGCTATGAAGACAGTGGGATTAATTGCCTTTCTCTATAAACATATAAAGCTAAATAACAACCTTTCCCCCTCAGAAATGATGACCGAGAAATTTTACTAGAGTGTCAGAAAAGAATGCCATCCCTGAAAACATTCACATATTTAGCTGTGAAGCTGAATAAAAATCCAAATCAGGTAATTATTCAGATTTTACATTTTATTATTATCAAAGATGTTGTTGCCTGACTTACTTCGATTTATTAATTTTTTTACTTAGTTTTGTGCTGGGGATTAAATCCAACTACATGCATGCTGGGCAAGAACTCTACCATTGATCTCTATTCCCAGCCCCAAATTTAATTTATTAAAACACAAAGATATTTATTTGGCTATCTTGCTTAAAAATATTCCTGTGGTACTGTTAAGTTTTGTGATTGTATAAGAAATGGTTAAAAATGATCTGGATTTCCCCTTCCATCTATTTTTTTTTCAAGGAACTAGATAGTAATGTTTCTTTATTAAGTAAGATTTAGTATTGAGAATTAAAGCAAAAGGTGTGACAGAGAGAGAGACAGACAGACAGAAAAACAGACAGATTGACTGACTGACTGACTCTGACTAGGAGACTTGAGTAGCCTAAACTTGTCTTGAATTTACTGTGGAGCCAAGGATGATCTTGAATTTTAGATCTTTCATCCTCTACCTCAAGATTCCTGGGATTACAAGCATGCACCACCATGCCTAGTCTGTGTAGTGCTGGGGATTGAATTCCAGCCTTCTATATGCTAGGCAGCATTCTCTGTTAAATAAAATATATCCCCATCTCTGAAGATGTTTAATTTTACTAAGCATTATTTTATCTCTATTATTTATGATAATTGTGTACTGTTTGTATATGTTTTATGAAAGTATTCATCAAAGCTTTAAAAAATGAGTATATTTCTAATAGTTTTTAATTTTTCAGGTTTCAGAGAGGTTCCAGCAGCTGAAGAAGCTCTTTGAGAAGTCAAAATGCAGGTAGTAGTAGGTTCATCACAGGAAGCTAATGCTGTAAGTGCTGGGTCCTCTCCTTGTGCATGTCACAACCTTAGTCACTGGAGGTCTCAGGGTGGGCGTAGAAAATGATTACAACAGCTAATGTCTCCTTACCTGCAGGGCTCTTGTAGTGATCACCAGTGAAGGCCAGGTCAGTATGGCTGGCTCTTCAACTGCAGATAAGTCATTAATTGCTGAAATCCATTAATAAAATGTGTTTTAATTAATGAATTATCAGTAGTGCTGGGGATCAAACTCAGTGCCTTGTGCTTATCTACCACTAAGCCATACCCCAGCCCAAAACATTTCCTACAGAAGAAGAATAAGAAACATAGCAATTTTTCACAACCATTGAATGCATTATATAATCTGCTCTCTGTCTGTCTGTCTGTTTCTCTCAGAGGGTCTCACTATGTAAGGCCATTTACCCTTGGTCTAGCTGTGCAAATCAGCCTGGCCTTGAATGCAGAGATCTGCTTGCCTCTGCTTCCTGAGTTGGGGATTGAAGATGTGTGCCACCGTACCTGGCCTCACTTTTTTTCTCTTTTCAAATGTATTTGGCTATTTTGCCTGCATGTATATATGTGTATTACGTGTTGTGCCTGATGCCTGAGGAGGCCAGAAGAGAGTGTTAGATCCTCTGGAATTGGAGTTGTGAGCTACCATGTGAGTTCTAGGAATCCATTCTGCATCTTCTAAAAGAGCAGCCAAATTTTGTTCTTTTTAAGACAGGGTCTCTCTATTTAACCCTGGCTGTCCTATAATTTATTATGTAGACCAAGCTGGCCTGATTCTCACAGTGATTCTCCTGGCTATACCTCTGGAGAACTCGGATTAAAACGATTTAGCAAATACTGTTAACAACTGAGCCATCTCTTCAGCCCTCAAGCCTCACATATTTTGTGCTTTTTTTCTTTTTAGATTCATTTTATCTTTAATTATGTATATGCTTGTGTGTCTGTGTTTGTGTTTGTACATGAGTGCCAGTGTCCTTGGAGGCCAGAAGTGTCATAATCCCCTAGATTTGGAGTTAGAGGTGGTTGTAAGCTACCCAATGTTAGTGCTAGGAAATGAACTCGAGTCCTCTGCAAGAGCAGTAGATGCTCTTAACTAATGAGCCAGCTCTCCATTTCCTGTAGTTTGGATTTTTATTGAAGGAAAAAATATAATATTTAATGTATCATTGTATTTTTCACTTTGCTTGTTACCAAAATTAATTGATTGCAAATATCAAATTTTAATGCTAAATAAGGTGGTACATCCTTGAGATTCTAGCACTTGGAAAGCCAAGGCAGGATGTTTAAGTTTGAGGTCACCCTGAGCTACATAGTCAGCTTGAGCTACAGTGTAGCACTGTCTCAAAAGCATCTCAAAAAAAATTCAAAATTGGATTAAACTTGAGTTAAATCTAAATGGATATTATATTGGCTGCTGTTAAGGTGGTTGAGTAGGTAGGTAAAGGCACTTATTGCCAAGACTGAGACCAGAGTTTGTTCCCCAGACCCCACTTGGTAGAAGGAGAAAACCGGCTCCTATAAGTTGTCCTCAGAGCCTGACACGTGTGCTATTGCACACATGCCCCACCTTCTCCTCCTGCACAAAAATAAATTAATGTAAACATCTTAAGAAAGAAGCCATATTTCTATATAGATCTTATGTGAAGGGCTTAAATAGTTTTCAGTTATCGGTCTATTTCTAGCCTATTATTTTTTTAGTTTGAATCATCAATTTTTAGTCCCTACTATGTCTGATACTCAAATATCCATTTTCTTTGAAAACAATTGATTTTCTAGTGAGATTTACAAAGCTACTTAATAATTTATTGTGAAATTAAGTTTCTATTTGTATAGTTTAGAATATAAGACAAGAATAATAGACAATTTGGAGAACTAACTTAATGCTATGGGCATGTAACACTTTTTTTTAGATTTTATTTATTATGTATACAGCATTCTGTATGCCTACAGGCTGGAAGAGGGCACCAGATCTCATTACAGATGGTTGTGAGCCACCATGTGGTTGCTGGGAATTGAACTCAGGACCTTTGGAAGAGCAGCCAGTGCTCTTAACCTCTGAGCCATCTCTCCAGCCCGTAACACGTTTTTAATGACAGCACTCAGGATCTTTTGAGTTCCAGGCCAGCCATAATTGCTTGATGAGAGCCCACCTAAAAATTTTAAATAAAAAAAAAAGGAAGAACAGGACCTCATTTGGTTCCACATGCCTGCAGTTCCAACACTCAGGAAAGTAAGAGACCGGAAGTTTAGGAGTTCAAGGATAAATTAAATTTAGCTATATAACAAGTTTGAGGCCAGACTGTGCTACATGAGACTTATCTCCAAAATAGTTTAAAACCCCTGTTTAGGTTAAAGTTGTTGGAAATTGCCTCACCAGCTCAGCTTGGATACAGAAAGTGGGGGGGTGGGGGCTGCCAAGATTGAAACACAGAGGCAGTTGCTTCTGGAAAAGAAAGACCTTTATTTTGCTCCGAGCTAGAGCCTTTTATACCTTTAGGCAGCTGGCCTGGGGCATGCTGAGCAGCCAGAGGTCAAGATCAGGGCATTGTGTACTGGGAATGCTTCAGCTGAAAAACCACTAGCCAGAAAGAACACAAACATCCTTGTTGATTACAGAGTACAAGGAAGTTTAGCTGTCGGTTTAGGGGGAGTGAGGGCAGCCAGATCACAACAGAAAATATGGTTTCTGTTCTCTGGGCAGAGTATAAATTTGTGGGATGAGTGACTTCAGGTAACAGGCAGGCATGTCTGATATCCCAGAACTCAGACAATAGGATTGCTGCAAGTTTGTGCCCAGCCTGGTTTATATGGTGAGCTCCAGGCCAGCCTAGGCCAGAATCCGGTCTCAAAATGAAAAAAAAAAAATTTTTTAGTTGCTCCCCCACCAGCATAATAGCACATATTGTGGGTTGTGGGTCATTTCATTTCATTTAGCTATCTTAACTGATACCACCCCACTCCAACTCTTAAAGCTCATTAAATTCTTGGGAGTAAAAGTCAGTATATTAGTAGTTAGCAAATTGTTTCTGTATAAACTTGTTTTTTTTTTTTTTTCTAACACCAACATTATCTAAGGTAACACTATGAAAATTGGTATATCACGGGACTGGGGAGATGACTCAGCAATTGAGAGCACTGGCTGCTCTTCTGGAGGACCCAGGTACAATTGCCAGCACCCACATGGCAGCTCACAACTGTCTGTAACTCCAGTTCTCAGGGATCTGACACCCTCACACCAATGCACATAAAATATAGTTAAAATAATAAATGATTTTAAAAAACGGGCATACCAGAAACCCCTCGGGCATAGTGGGGTACATTTTTAATCCCAGCACTCGGAGGCAGAGGCAGGTAGGTCTCTGTGTGTTCAAGGCCAGTCTGGTGTACAGAGTGAGTTTCAGAACAGCCAGGGCGACACAGAGAAACCCGGTTTTGAAAATGAAAAACCCAATTATAATGTCAGTATTTTCTTCCGTTACAGGTGAGTTGCTGGATCTCACGGCGTTTCGTTAATATTTCTTCTACACAGAAGCTATGAGTCCTCGTGTTTTAAATGAGGAACTAGGTGGAAGTTGTCTCAACTCTGATGACTAGGTGGTCATCTACATTTTTACTTACCTAGTCATCGTGCTTGACTTATTCAGATCAGCAGTCTGATTCACTTACCTGTTCCTGGTCAAAATATTTATTTTTAATCATTAAAAGTTATCAAAATGAAAGAATAAAAGCAACAGGGATGACATACTGAAACCTTAGTTTTGATATTGGATGAAATAACTTCTTTAGGTTAAAAAAATTTTGTAGCATTTTAAACATAATGACTTTCACCTTTCTATTCAATTTTGTTTTTATAATTGTCTCTCATTTTGGAAAATTGTGAAATAATTTAAATAGCATATATGTATATATGTATAATTATTATGTTGTAAAATATGAATGTATGTGTCTTTGTATATGTATTCACATAAATGGCTTTGCTAGCCAAGGTTTTTTTTTTATCTGTATGAAACATTTTGTATAAACTCTGCTTTCAGTAACAGTCATGTATAATAAAAACATGTAAAGTCCTGTTTTATTTTTACTAGAATGCTTCTTTTATTGTGTTTAGGTGATTCTGAAGTAGGTAATACTCCAAGGGAGATGGGGAACTATTTGAAGTGTTTTGGGATGAGAGTGTAACTGGCTCATTTTCTTTGCGTGGGTTCATTAGATTCTGTCGCCATCACCTGCTTTCTTACATCATGTATTGATATTGTGAACCCTGCCTCTCCTGCAGATGTGCTCACAGATAGAATTCAGTCAACACAAAAAGTGTCAGTTTAGAGAAAACTGGTGTAAGGATTGATTCATCCTGGATGCCCCCTTCTAGTCTCATGAAAGTGGTAGATTATAATCTAGTCCCTAGACTCCAAAGTGGTGCCTTCCACATAGATCTTTCTGCTAAAATGTCCACAAGGGAAGTCCTACCTTAAAAGATTGCTTGATAGATGAGAAACTTGACTAATGAACTGTTTTTGTAGTGTGAGAGCTTGGCCCCTTTCTTATCTGAATATCCAACGTATCTAGAGGGTTGGTTGCAGATCATTCTCCAGTGCATGTCATCCCCTCCCACCAGCCAGGTAAATGAATTCATAAAGTAAAATGATTGCAAAGAGATGGTACTGGTTCAAAAGAAAATAACAAACCAGACTAAAGAAGTCCTTTGGAATTTCAATGAAGTTACGTAGTTTCACTTTCACAAGAGACTTTGAGGTAAGAATGATAAATAGGATAATGCTACATTTGAAACATTAAAAAATGGGGACTGGAGAGGTGACTTGAGGGTTAAAAGCATGCACTTACTTGTCTTAGGGTTACCATTCACTGATCAGACACCGTGACCAGAGCAAATTGGGGACTAAGTTCCATGAACAGTTCATCTAAAGCAGTTAGGGCAGGAACTCAAAGTGGAGACAGGAGCTGATGTAGAGGCCAGGAAGGCTTTTTTATTTATTGGCTTGTTCCTCATGTCTTGTTCAGTCTGCTCTGGGCTTGGACCACAATAGGCTGCGCCCTCCAGTATGAATCACTAACTTAAAAAATGCCCTACAGGCTTCCTGTCAGCCAATCATAATAGAGTTAAGGTCTCAGTGAGATTCCTTCCTTCTGCTCAGATACTCTGGCAGGCTTCAAGTTGACATACAGCTAGTCAGGACACTGCTCTTGTAGAGGACCCCGTTATGGGTTCCAGCACTTACTTGACTGCTCATGAGCTGGGTGCACACCTTTAGTCCCAGAACTCAGGAGGCAGAGGCAGGCAAATCTCTGTGAGCTCAAGGTTAGACAGAAACTATGAAAGAAAGGAAGAAAGAAAGAAAGAAAGAAAGAAAGAAAGAAAGAAAGAAAGAAAGAGAAAAGAAAGAAAGGAAAACGACATGACTGGTCAAGACTACCTGTCATTTCAACTCTAGGGGACCCAGGCTCTTTTCTAGCCCCTATTGGCTTCTGCGTATATGTTCACCTAAACTCAGGCAGGTCTATATGGATACACTTTTAATAGCATTTGGGAGGCAGAGGCAGGTGGATCTCTAAATTTGAGCCCAGTCTGGTGTACAAATCAAGTTTCAGAACAGCTAGGGATACATACTGAGAACCTTTCTCAAAAAAAAAAAAAAAATCAGAGTTCCTCCAGACGACTCTGGCTAAGAGTACTTCGAGTGATCCCTGTGTGCCGCGACAGCACAGCAACTGTAGTTCTTCTGAGCAAGGGACGTCAGGATTAACACACAGCACAACTTCAGGTTCTGTAGACAAGCCTTTATTCCACTTTCTCACACAGTATATATAGCCCTCAGCAGGGGAAGCCAAGCCAGCAAGAAGCTCATCACCATAGGGGTAAACATCTTTAGAAACATGGCTGAAAACAACAGATTGTTTTGTTCTTGTTTTTGCTCTTGTTTCTGGAACAACCAACCACAGGAGTGCAAAACTGATCAAGTGGGGGTGGGAAGGCCTGTCCTCAAGGGACCCAATACTTGTGTGCTGAAATGAACGTAGATCCTCTGAAAGACAAGTGCTCTGTTAACCATTGATCCATTTTCCAGGCCCCCAAATAAATCTTTAAAAAGTAAAAATATGTAAAGCACGAGTGTGTTGAAAATCTAGGTTGAGAAACTCCCATGAGGAAGCCAAAAGAAAAAAAGCATAATTAACTATATATATATAAAGCATAATTAACTAAATATAGGGGACAGAAATAGATAGGCTGATATTGAAATAATAGACCAAAAAGTTTAAATAGAAATACATGTTACCAAATGAGAGATAGAATACATCTACACAGATGCTAACATTTGTGATTAAAGACAGTAAGAAAATATCTTAAAAGTTTTTGAAGTGGTAGATTAAAGTTGCATACATTTAAATTCTTTATGTGGGTTTCAGAGATTGAAATTTGGTTGCCAGATTTGGGGAAAAGCACCTTTTACCCTCTGAGCCATCCTGAAGTTTCTCCCTTTCTTAGAGAGCCAGGCACTAGGTGGTCCATGCCTTTAATCATTCAGACAGAGGCAGGCAGATTTCAATGCCGGCCTGGTCTAGAGAGAGTTTCAAGACAGCCAGGGCTACCCAGAAACTCTGTTTCGAGAAGTCTGTTTGCGTATGTGTATCTGCTGTACACCACATGTATGTACGTGCCAGAGAAGCCAGAAGGGGGCATTGGATTCCCTGGAGATAGAGATGGTTGTAAGCTACCCTATATGTTGGTATTGGGCTTCTTTCATGTAAATGCTCTCTCTAGATGACGTTTTGTTTGACATCATTTGTTTAGTTTATTTACTAATATGACCTTTATATTAGTAGTTAAATTCTGTGTAGTCTACATTATTTCTTCCTGAATCATCATCATTATTATGGTGTGTGGAAGCCCACATAGGCCATGACTACAAAAAGAAGTCACAATTCAACTCTGGAATTGATTCTTCCACATTCACATGGGTCAATCAGGCTTTATCGTCACGAGCTTTTACTCAAGAAGTCATCTCGCTGATTTTTGTTTGTTTGTTTGTTTGTTTCTGAGACAGGATTTCTTTGTGTACCAGCTTTGGCTGTCCTGGAGCTCACTCTGTAGACCAGGCTGGCCTCGAACTCAGAGATCCGCCTGCCTCTGCTTCCTGAGTTGTAGGTTTAAAGGCCATCATGGCCCAGTTATTTCCAGTATTTGTAAGAAGAATGCAGCTGGGCGGCGGTGGCGCCCTCCCTTCATCCCAGTATTTCGGAGGAGGAGACTGGCAGGTCTCTGTGAGTTTGAGGCCAGTTTGAGCTACAGAGCGAGTTCCAGGACACAGGGAAACCCTGTCTCGAAAGACAAAACAAACAAAACAGTGCATCAAGGGTTCTTCTCTCACAATAAGGCACTTTTCTGTGGGCGATAATCTTGGACAGCAAATCTGCTTATCGTTCACATCTAATCCCGTTGGGAAAAATCGTTTTTTTTTTTTTTTTTTTTTTTTTTCGGGTCGTGCACTGATAACCCATCAGTTATCCTGCAAGCCTCAAAAGCCATCTCCGCCTCACTTCCTACTAGCAGCGTCGCCGCCGTGACGCATTTCCGCCGAGGTGGGCGTAGCAGCAGTAGCGCCGCCGCAGTGGCCGCCGCAGGTTGATGACGTCGGTGGAGTCCTTCACCACGTGTGCGTCCGCTCGCCGGTTTTAGGGGCTTTCCTTGCTGGTCCGTCTTCGGCGGCGACTCCGCGGCCCACAGCGGCCGGGAGACCATGGAGCACCTCTCCGTGGAGCTGCTGGCCGGGCCTCTGAGGCTAATCGCCGACAAGAACGAGAAGAGCTGCGGCGAGCTGACCAAGTTCCTGACCAAGGCGGTGAGCACGGGCGAAGGGAGGCGGGCCCGGGCCGGGGAGCTCGGGTGTCCCCAGAAAGGGCCTTTGTTATTCGGGGTTAGCTCCAGTTCCCTGCCCGACCGGCGCTCAGACCGTGGTGGGGAGCGTGCACTTTCCGAAAGGAAGAGAGTTGGTTTTTCTGCGAGGTTGCATCTGTGTACCCCAGACACGTGCATTGCCTGCGCCGCCCCTTCCTTTCCCCACCCCCGTTTGCTTGCAGCATGTTTTTCTTTCTAACTTTGTCCCTTCTGTTTGGCACATTGACGGGTATCATCCCCCAGGGCGCAAGTCTCAGTGCAGACTGAGACAGATAAGTCTGGTCTCAGCATCAAGGGAGTTTGCATCGATTTCAGAGTCGGTTCGTAAGCATACAAACAACTGAAGTTCAAAACAGACACCTAACTTTGGGAATTGGATGGTGAAAATAATTTTTTTTTCCAAAAGGTCTTGGGTTTTCAAGAGCCTTGCCTTCTTGACTACTGTCAGAGTTGAGCATCCTTACTAGCAACTTTTCACTCTGCCTTTTAATTTCCTTTTATTTTTCCCTACCTACTCTGTCTGTAAGCTTGAGACTAGAAAAGTGTGATTTTAATTTTGTGAAACTCATTCGGTTGCAAATGCATTAGGTACGTAAACACTCCGTTGTTTAGTAACAGCAGTCTAGCGGGTCCAGTGGTTTTTATCTTGTGGTCGCCAGCCTTTCCCAGTTAGTCGTCTGAGACCATCGTGTAACAGATCTTTACATTACGATTTATAACAATAGCAAAGTTACAATCATGAAATAGCATTGAAAATAATTTTATGGTTGGGGTCACCACAACATGAGTAATTGTATTAAAGGGTGGCAGCATTAGGAAGATTGAGAACCACTGGCTTAGACTAAAGAACCTGAGTATTTCAGAGCAGAATAGAATTCACCTGAGAAAATTCCGAGAGTTTTTTTCTGGGGGCTTGAATCTATGTTCTGCTGCCGAGTTATACCCTCAGTTGAAAGGCATTTTACTTGTTTGTTTTTTTCCTTCTGAGATGAGGTCTCTGTTATGTAGCTCTTGGTGTCCTGGAACTCCCATGTGTAAATTGATTGGCCTCCAGCTCACAGGGATCCACAGAGGGCTGGGATTCCAGACAGGCCCTACCAGCCTGGACCAAAAGGCATTTCTGATAATGAAAAGCTAAAGTTAGTGACATCTGTCGCCTGAATTCCTGA